ACTGTAAGTTAACTCAATGAAGTTGAACTTCAGCTGGAGGTAAGCACCATCTCATGAAAACTTTTGGGATAGCTTTAGCAATGCCCTTCCCAGCTAGTTTTGGGAGTGCTTTTAATAGAATTTGCCCCAGTTGCTGCCCTTCCTTTGCCAGGGCAGAGGGTGAGTAACCTGTTGTGTGATGGTGAAATGGCAGGAGTTGGGAGTGTCATGCTCTAGGCATGGCACACCTGTGACACCAGCAGTGTGGTTGGTTGTGTTAGTGGATACTACTTCAAGCAGACTGTTTGGCCCAGGCTAATCCAGGTGCCTTCAAATGTCATCTCTCTCTCAAGTTTGCTTTGTTAGATGTATCCCCCCCCCGGCTTCACCCCAGTACAAAGAGCTGTTGATCTTCAGCCGGTTCAGCCATATCTGGGGGTGGATTAGTGGCTGGCAGGAATTAGGTGAAATCCTTGTCAAATCATCCTGTTCAGGAAAAAACTAATGATCATTGAACTTTAAGGGAAAAAAAGGTGGTGGTGGGGAAGACAGTGGACTGACCCTTGCCAGGCTTCCAGTTCTAACTAATAAGAAGTAGGTATTGGGAATAGTTTGTTTGCAATCTTGGGGGTAGGTGGGCTGCAGGGAGAAGCACGAGAGTTGCTGCCCCAGGAATGAGGAGCTTTGAAGAGAGCACTGGAAGCTTATGGGGCAGAGCTGTTGCTGCCTTCTGCCCCTGGTGCTGATGTATGCGCCGGCTTGTGTGCAGGGTGTGACTTACCTGGCAGCTACTGGTGTGGTGAGATCTGCTCACGAGATATCCTGTGCTCCTGCTGCAGGGCCCTGGGCAGCTCTCTGCTGCACTTCGGCCCACATGCTCAGCGGAAAAGGCTATTAGTGTCATTGTTTATCCTGTATTGTTTAATTATCGTTTGCATGTGCCTCCTCCTTTTATTTTCTTCCTTGGCTTTGATTCTGTCCACTTCTTGCCTGAAACAGGCTTGGCAGGATCTTCCCCCATTATTATTGGGGGTCAGTGGCTTCCTTCTTTCTTTTCTCCATCCTTCTCACGCACAATCTCTTTTGCTGCCCCAGCCTTTTTCAAAAAGCATGTTCTGTCCCTTCACTGAATTATGTCATGTTTATAATTAAGTCAGGAATGAACTATAATAGGGCTATTTTGTCCAAGCATTTCCATGATGGCTTTCCAAAGCAGGTCTGAATTTGAAGTGTGCAGGGCTATGACTGTGCTTGGACTCTGGACAGCTAGGCTCTTTTGGTACATGATACTGAAAATCTTGGCCTGTAACAATATATATATCTGCCCCTTTGTGTGCAGTTTGGTCTTACCGTGGCTCTGCCAAGATGTCACGTCCCCAGTCACGCTGTTGGGGCACACTGGGTGTCTGCAGCCATGCCACGCTGTGCTGGAGATGATGGTACTGCTCTAGTTGTTACGCAGAGATGACCAGTGTTATAGGAAAGGTGCACCCTGGGGCTTTCAGCATATGTGTGTCTTTGTGGACTTGTGCTTTGTGCCACTTCTTCCAGCAAGATTAATAGATTGAACAGCAGCTTCAAGTGACGTAGCCAAGAGTGGTTACTGGATAAGTGTTATTTTGTCACTTTTTAATGATGTAGTTATTTTAAAGGGAAGAAGATTGGAGAGAGACAGTCGAGGTCCAACAGTATGTGTACAATCATATTTGCTTTATGGTGAGAATTTCAGGAGGGCAGAGATACTGTTTGTGTAGTTGTCTTGCTTATGAGAAAGCCTCCTTTCTCATGCAATAACCAACAGTCGGCGCTCAGCTTCACTTAGTGAATTGCAAAGATTGGTGTGTTTTGGCATAGTACAAATTCAGGAGGTGGCTTTCAAGGTAGAAGTGTTTGTGCAATCCTTTCCTCAGCTTGTGACCCCTTCCTCAGTGATCATTTGGGATCTTGCATTGGTGGAGAAGGTTTGATTAAAAACATCTGCAAGATACATTCTTGTTTTCTCCAAAAATAGCACAAAATGGTCTGAAATACTGTGTATCGTCTAGAGTTTAGGCTGTAGCTTGTCCCATCTGAACAGCAAATTAAAGCCAAACAGTTGATAAAAGGAGTGAGTACTGTCTACTCTGTTAGGAGTACATCTAACAATACAAAAACTGTGATGTTGCTCACCGACAGAGTAGGGCACTGTCCTTCCCTTCCTCACTAACCCAGTCTCTTACCTGCTTTGAATTTCTTCTGTCTATCTCCATGGAGTTACAGCATGGTACCTACCTGGTATGCAGTGGCTTACAAGTTTTTTTGTTACTTAAACACTTGAACATTTCCATGCTCTGTAGGTAAACAGTACTCTCACCGTATGTAGGGATTACATCTGAAGTTCATTGTGTTTAAAAAAACTTGGGCTTCCTCTAGCTCACAGAAAAGTTGCCATTACTGCAGGGCTGAATTTTTGGCCATCAGGATATATTAGCAGTTTGATCTTGGCATAGTAATTGTTAATTGTAATAGGAATGAAATTTGTTGTATTCTGACCCAAGAAATACATGCTTTTGGGGCTGTAATTCTGGCATTGTGCAGCAGAGTTCAAAGGAAGAGACTTACTGTACCTGGAGATGATAATAACTGCTGCTTTCACTCCTCTGCTAGGTTTTTTTTGTGTGTGGTTTTTTGGTTTTTGGTTTTTTTTTTTAAGTGAAGACATCTCTGGCCAGGTGGTGGGTATTTAGGGGGAGCAGAGATAAAATAGTGCAAGACAGTGACCTGCTGCAGTGTGTCCTGTCATAGGGCTCTTCCTCGGGGCATCAGAACTTGGTGTGCTTCCCGATCTGCCTCTTCCACCCACTGGTGGGGCCTTTGTGGTGGGTGGTGATGAGGCCAACATCTGACTGCTAGTGCTGGCAAAGGGAGAGAGCAAACCGGGGCAGGGGTGTGGGGGGTGGGGGGTGTGGAATGAGAATAGCTGCGGAAAGAGGTAACTGTTTAAACATTATCTGAATAGTTTCTTGAAAGCCACGTCTGTGTGGGCTATTAGAGGGTGACAAAGAGTTGATTTAAATGCAGACTTGCCTCTAGGCAGGGGATGTGGGTGTCCCTCAGGTGGATCAGTGTGAATGGCTTTGGCAAATCTCCAGCATAGTTTTCCTGCTCTGTCCAGCCGACTGTGCTCAGGTTACATTTGTCAGTAGGATGCACATACATCGTGTGTGTACTATGCACTGCATTTGAGATAATCAGTTAGTTATGATATACATGGGCCCCATAAAGCCTAGGGTTAAAAAATGTGTGTGTGGAGGATTGATGCAAAAATCACATTTACAAGAAGAACACAAGCTGGAAAAGGACCAAAAAAAAAAAAGGGGGTTTTGCATCTGAAAGCGCATCCGCATTTTAAAAGCCCCAGCAAAGGCAGCACCTCTGGTTCCCATGCTCACGGATGCACGTTTTTGTTCCAGAAAACCTGTGTCTGTGTCGAGGTGGAGGCACGGAGGCTGCAGCAGGGCAGTGGCAGAGTGAGGGTCTGCAGCCCGCTGCCCGGTGCTCCTTCACGATCTCCATTCCTGAGCTCCTGTTCAGCGATAAGTTATTGTGTGGCTTTTGATGACTGAGTGAGAAGAATTTCAGCAATGTAGTCTGTAATGTCATTACCTGCTTTTTTTCATGTAGCAGAGGAGTTTATCCTTTTGCATTTTCTTTAACCATGTGAAGAAAACCCATAAAACTCAACCTGAAGCGGAATATACCTTTTATTAGAGAGGTCTGTTGCGTTTTAGTTGCTAGGTTGTTGAACTGTGAATTGCTAGAGACGTGCCTCGGGAAGGGTGGTGAGCAGGATGAAGAAGTGAAGTGAGAAGGTGTGTATTTGTGCTATGACAGCTTTAATGAAGAGCATATTGCCAATGCTTATTGGCAAGAATAATACCTGCAGCACTTCATGGAGGTGAACCCACCTGGGACATGTCATTGGCTGGTGCTGGTAAACAGGCAGGATACCCTACAGCTGGGCACAGGGACTCCTGTATCCCATGAAAACCTATTGTACCCTGTCTTGGCTCAATTAATCACAACGCTGGTAAGCTCCTGAATCATCTTGGCAGAGGTCCTGCTGGTAGCATGCTGCCCAGCCAGAGTGTGCGTACTTAGCAAACAACACGGGATCTGCTCTCTGCTCTTCGATAGCGAGGCAGAAATGGCATTAAGCAGCTTGAGGTTTTTGTGTGTTGAAAGATTTTGACATTCTTGTGATTGCTGTGTAGCCCTGTGAAGCAGAGTGGGTTTGGGTGTCTGTTTCTACGGAGTTGATACTTGTGAGCAGGTTTTGGAGACAGGAGAGCTCTGTGTGTTTGTCTGTTAGAGGAGGGATGGCTGCCTTTGTGCTCCCTTTCTCCTGCTCTGTAGTTTTGGGGCAGAGCAATGACAGTTCTGCTCATATAAACTAAAAATTAGGACATAAGGTTTTTTTTTTTTTTCTGATTGTACCTGGTTTCAAGTACAAGGTGAAGCTTTTTCCTGAGCACATCTGAGAAGCAGGGCAATTACTAGCTTGTACATACCAACTTTTTTTTTCCTAATTGATAAACACTTAATTTGCTGTTCTCATCACCTTCCAGTCAGGAATGTTTCATTGTCTCTTACTACTACTTTTTCTGTACACTGAAACCTTTGAAATGAACAAATTGGTGTTAGTGATGTAATGGGGGCTAGTAGTGACTCAAAATACTTACCTGCTCAAATGTGTCAAGTTTGAGTGCAGTCATTTACCAGAGGTCATGTTCCTTACTAAAAAAGTAACAAAAAACCCCCTCGAACCCTGGTTTATTGTTTTGTTCTTTCAGAAGGATGGGGAGAACGATTGTGTTCTTTGAAGGTGTAGGAGCCACTAAGTAAAATCAGGACTTGCTTTTTAATGTAAATGTCTCTGGTGGCCAGATGTAATCTGTACAGAAGGGTGGGTGGAGGCGGCAAATCTCTTTAAAAGCATCTGGAGCTTTAGTGATTTCTTGTGTTCTGGTTTTTCCCCAAAGATCCGAGCCAAGAAGAAACCTACTCCAGTGAAGTATGAAGTTGGGGATCTTGTTTGGGCCAAGTTCAACAGACGCCCATGGTGGCCATGCACAATTTGTCATGACCCAGTGCTGGACTGTCACTCAAAAATGAAAGGTACTGTATCTACTCAGACCACAAAGTGGAGGTGTTGTGTATGGCAGGGTGCTGCAGTTTTTAATTAATTTAAAAAACATTTCTGGCCCTTGAAATGTGTGAAGAAGTAGACTCTATTGTGGAAGACCTGGATCTATAAAGTAGACCTAGATCAGGGAGGTGACAGGAGGAAGATGGGGCTGAGTTTGATGGAAGTGGCACAGATAGCTGTTGGACATGTAGGCTTTTCTTCCCAGAGCATAGGAAGGATGAGTAGCTGGGCTGAGCTCAGGGCGGTGCAGAAGAAAGAACAGCCTCTCAAAAAAGGGATGCAGAGAAAAAGGAGTTGGATCAGGGAGGTGAGGATGGAGACGTGCAACGGGTGGGCAAGCAGAGCTGGGTAGCCTGGAGTGTGTGAGGACACAAGGTCGGCCAAGCTTGGAGAGCCAGAGGCTGGAGAGGCCGAGAAGCAGGGTGTGGGGTAGCGCAGTGTAGCTGCCGAATGCCTGAAGGTGTGATGGGAATGTGTGAGAGGAAGTGAATTTTTTTTTTTGTTTTGGTCTTGTTTGGCACAAGGAAACAAGGGGCTGTTTATGGGGAAATATCAGAAAAACGTGGAGGTGGAGCAACATATGTGAAAGTTTAGGGCATAGTGTGTCAGAGAGACTAAGAGCCAGCTGAGTATGAGGGGAAGAGATGGGGGAAAAAAGACAGAGCTGTACGTGCATGAATGTAGGGGAGAGCCAGGAAGGAAGAGGGTGTTACAATCTCAAGGCAGAGGAGTGTAGGTGAGTGATGGAGAGAACAGAGGGGAAGCAATTGTTTGGAAATTGCAGCTCATTTGAAGGCTCTCACAGTGCTTTTAGGATCATACTAGCTGCCATGGGGAGACTGCCACAAATGGAAGGGCTTATTTATTTGTTCTTGGTTTCCCCTTATTCTTTTTGTTCTGTGGGCGACTGGAAACCCCTTGAACTGGTGCCATCTGCCACTGACAGCTCTGAAGACTGGTGAGGTTGCTGCTCACTGATGTATTTCTTTCCAGTTTTTATAGCCTTCACCAGCCGAAGAACAAAGTGCTGAGAGCAAGTAGACTTTTTTTCCTAGTGGCCCATCAGCTCAGAGCCCTCTGCTATTTCTGTTGAGACACAGAGTAGCTTTTCCTACATTGTGCTCATGTCATCCCCAAGTCTGGTTGCTGTAGTCTTCTTACTTGCTATTTTTCCACCTTCCCCTTCATCCTTGGGGAAGCATTCATCCTGATTCTAGATAATACTGAATGTGCTGTTTTAAATAGTCCCTTTCGAGCTCTCAAATTCCTGTCAAAGATGTTGCCGGAAGATATGCCAGACATATTCTTCCCCCACATCCCTCCCCATGAAGTTTTGGACAGGATTTAATGTATATAGCTGTCCAGTAATCCCCTCTCAGCCTGTGTATGAGGATTTCTAATAAAGGAATTCTGCAGGGAGGAAGCATGCTATTAACGAATTCCAGCAAGGTCTGATCTCCAGCTACACGATAGACTCTCCCATTATGTTTTATCTGTGTTCAAACCAATAGAGCTCTGGGGACAATTGCGTTTTCCAGTTGTGGCTGTATGTAACCTGCTCAACTCCCCTCCCTGATGCCAAGGTGGCAGAGTGGGTGGATCTGAACTCTGATGCTTTTGGGCAGGGGGAGCTGCTGGGGCACTGTAGGAAGCCAGGTCCTCCTGCCTTGGCTCTCCTGTTGCCATGGGAACAAGCCCTTCAAAACAAAGCAGATCGCTTCAAACTCATCACTTGTGCAAAAACCTCTTCTCCTCTTGGGTTTGAGGCATGGTGTTTTGTTTAAAATGGTTTGCCTTTTGTCAGCAAGCCATTGACTCGAAGATTTTTGCAGCTGGAAGATTGAGGCTCAGTGGCTTGAGTCCTGCCCGGTACTGTGAATGGGACAGATGAAGTCTGTCATCTCTGCCCTTGGTTTGATGCTGCCCTGGTCATTATTTGTCATCCTCTCAGTGGTCTTGGTCAGAATCTCAATGTTGGCATCACTAAAGGCCAGGCTACTGCACTGTGCTGGCACTCCTGGAAGAGGCAGCACAAACCAAATGGGCTGCGATGTCCAGGCTACGTGTTTAGAGAGTGAAGGTGTTCCCAGGAGAACATGAAGCACATGTTGTAGTGAAGTGCAGGGAGAAGTTTTTATCACTTGTTCAAGCCTTGTTTGCTCTGTTCTAATGCTTGTAACTTGTCCTTTTTCACCAGCACACCTGGTACTGGTTCAGTTCTTAATTGTACCATGTCTGTTCAGCATTCTTGCACAGAAAGCACCTTTTGAAAAATCTTTGGTTGTGCCCTTATGATTGAGTTTCTTCTCTTACTCTGCAGCTTTGTGCCCAAAGTGTGCAGATACTCATTGCAACTAACACTTTGTCATGTTGCACCTAGTCCTTGTAGAGTGTGTGTGCATATGTGTACTTAAATAACTGCTGTTAATGTTTTATATCCTAAATAAGAGTTTGCTTGGTAACAAAGCATTGAACAAGATGGGACATATTGTGGTGGGGGAAATTCAACCTGTATGAGTAAATCCTATCCAGAAGGATGTCATATTTGGGTGTTGCCAGCACACTGTTGCCTTTTCCCAACGGTCAAGCGGACTGGACTGCTTAATCATTAATCAGGGAGTAGCAAAAAAGAAATGTCCTGCCTAGCATGTTAAAATGTCTGAAGGGAAAAAATATTTGGATATTTTTGCAATTTCTTTTGCAGCCAAACTGTAGTTTTTGCTCTGGAGAGATGACCCATCTTAGACCTGTTAATCAATTGTTTGTTACCAAAAAAATTAGAAATGGAGAGTAGCAACACAGAACATAGACAGCAGAGGTCAAAGGGGTGTCCCTTAGTTCTGAGTAAAAATCCGCAGAACTGGCATTCATGTGGGAATGTTATTAAGCAAAAAGTAGTTGAAAATTAACTGGCAAATTGTTACCGTTTTCTGTGATTCTTCTTGTCTGTCTTTATTCTATTATATGCAAGGGGTTAATTCTGTTGAATTTCTCAAAATAGTTTCCAATCGGAGACCGTACCGAGAGTACTATGTGGATGCCTTAGGAGAACCTTCAGAGAAAACCTGGGTGGCTGGGAAAGCTATTGTCCTCTTTGAAGGAAGACATCAGTTTGAAGAGCTGCCTGTTCTTCGGAGAAGAGGAAAGCAAAAGGAAAAAGGCTACAAACATAAGGTGAAAGATCTGTTTTCTTTAATATGTTTTTGATTCTTTGGATCTGCACAGTACAAAGTATTCTCCTTTATGCCTGGAATTGCACTTTGACAGCTTTCTTCTGTGGCAGTGACTGCAGCAACATGATCAGGGAAGTGATCCTTTGCATCTATGATCCTTTCAATGAGCATAGTTTATAAGCTGCCAGGAGTTTCTAGGCTCTCTTTTATGTCAGGGTGTGGCCTGCTGCTTTTATTGCCCTGGACAGCTCTGGGAGGCAGAGGAGTCAGGTCTCTGTCCGTGTGAGATGTGTTCAGCAGCGCAGCCCTCTCCTGATGTCTATTACAGCATGCTTCTAAATAACTTCCTGTGCTCTCTGGCAGCCTCTTTTGGCTGATCTGAAGCAGAGGTGGAGTTGCACGCTTCACTAGATCACTGACTGAGATAAAGCAGTGGGGTTTTTAGCCCTGCTTCAGTAATTCTCTTTATAGAAACTTGTTAGGAATTATAATTTGACTTGGGAAACGCTTGGTCAGTGAGCCTGTGGGAATGAGTTTTGTGGCTCATCGCATCATCTCAGTTTCCAAACATAACAGCCCGGAGCAGTTGTAGCCAGTATAATGTAACGTGACACAGAGGGTCTGGTCTACGTCTTTAGGAAGGTGACTGGAGAAATTAACTTTTTAGAATTGCTGAAGTGAAGAAGTGTAGAGGCTACTGCATTACTGTAAGAGAACAGATAGTCATACTAGGCAATGGTGTCTGGTTTTCCTTTTTCTCTTTTTCCAAGAGGTTTATTAGCAGTTATGTACTTAACCTATGTTACTGCAAAACCATCAGATTAAATGTGCTCTTGCAGATGTGAGTTCCCGGGTGTAATGCTTTCATTTGGTTTTCCTTTTCCAAGGGCATGTTCAGTATCTTCTCTAAGGACTTTTCTCCTTGTGTTCACAGCCCCCTACCAACTAGTTACATGCTCCCAAATAACTTTTCTGGTCCTAGAAATGCTCCATGATAGAGTCTCATCCTGTACATAAATGGCAGCACCAGTGTGGCAGCAGCAAAGGGAATCTGATGTTTGTTGCTCGTGTAGATGTCCAGGTTTGCCTCCCTGAAAGCCAAGATGTGATGCAAAGCTGCGAATATTTGGCTGCTTTGCTACCAGGCTCCATAAAACTTATTAATCTGCTGAGATGAAATTTTGTTGGAGTGTTTTGTGTTGTGGGTTTTTTTTAAAGTAAGTGTCAGACATTTGAGTTGTTCCTCCTGCCTTAGAATTGGTTTTGATTTTAGGAACAGTTGTGAAGCCTTTGATTTGCTGTTGTGCAGCCAAGAACAGCACGCACAGATAAGAAACAAGTTTCTTGCTGTTTTTAGATGTTAGCAGAGGTTCCTGTCCAGTATGGAGAGTGCTTTTTGTTTTATGCTAAAGGTACAGAGTTAAAGCTATGAGATGTCTAGGTAACAGACGTCTTAAATTTGTTAGAGTATGTTTTAGATGTGTGTCTGGATCTCACGTTTGCACCGAGGTGAGTTGATGGAGAGGGAAGATTGAATTGTGCTCTGAGTTCAAGGGATGCAGAAAGAATAAAGAATGAGCAAAGCGAACATGTCTGCTCAAATATTTTAAGGAAAATGATGCTGCATTTGCCTGGAGGGGCTTGTTGACTGTTGCTTTGCATTTCTGTGCCGGGGATCCATACCATATGCATTCCCCTTTACAGGCTGTTGTGTTCAGCATGTGCTGGGATGCCAGGTCATCTGGTTCCTGGGAGACCTGTGCTTGCAGGACCTTTTTTCTGTGGTGGGAACGCACAGGGATTTTTATTAGTCTCAGCAGTAGTGCAGGGTATGTACCCAGGAGAAGTATTTTCTGTGTTCACTAGGCACAGTCTCTCGGAATCCATGTGATTGTCTTAAAGATGCAAAGTGCAGGACTGTCACTCTGTTCTGTGCCTTGTGTGTCTCTACCTCACTTTTATCTTGTTGCTTACCGCATCAAATTTTTCTTTTTTTTTTTGTCTCCTCCAACTTTAAGGTTCCTCAAAGATTTATGGCTAAATGGGAAGTCAGTGTTGGACAGGCAGAAGACATTCTTCTCGGGGGGGCAGAGGATCAAAAATGCAGCCAGAACTCCGGCGAGCTGGACAGCGAGAAGGAAGTGCAGTCGGAATACTATGCTAATGGCCCTGGAGCAGAAAGGGACAGGCAGCTGAACGGTTGTTTTAAATCCTTGGCATTTGACTCCAGACACCTGGCCAGTGAAAAAGGAAAACTGCGCATTAAGTCACATGTGAAAAAGAGCTCTGACAGCAGAAAAAGGACTAGAGTAAAAAAGAGTGGTGCAAGAGGGGAAGCATCTAGGGGAGAAATCAAAGAAAAAATGCCAGAGAGCATAGTTAGAAACATGATTGTTGGGGACCTACCGGATAAACATGCCTCTCATGAACTTCGCCGAATTGCCAACAGCCTAACGGCATCCAGTAGCACCAGGGAAAACCATTTGCTTTCCTCCTTTGGAGAGAGACGTTTTGAAAAGACAACTTTGAAACCGGACTATGAGAATCGTAGAAGCGATGCTCTGAAGAACATGCTACAAGGGGATTTGTTTTCCAGTGCATCTTTGCAGAGAGAGAAGAGCTCCCTGGGCATTTTGTGCAGTTCCAAATTACAAATACACTATTCTGCATCTGATACTGGTATTGAGAAGAAGCAAACTGAATCAGATTCATCCTCTTCCCTCTCAGATGGTGGGAACAGTGATGTAGATACCATGGACCAAAGTTCAGAGAGAGCCTCTAGTGCTCTTGAAGTCAGTGATTCTTCAGATAAAGTGGAGAAGGAATTTCCTATGATGTCAAGTGGAAACATTAAGCTTTCCATGTATCTTTCTCAGAAGAGCAATAGAAGGGCCAGGAAGAAGTTATACAGAGATCGCAAACCTCTGGGAGGTTCAGTAGCCAGCAGAGTTGATGCTGAATTTGCAGATGGGGAGCTTGAAGTGGGCTTCTCTGATGCTGAGAGGTCATTGACAGCTCTTGAGCGCTCTTCAGATGTGAGAAATGACAATCTTTCCCTAGCACACAAGCACACTACTCCCCAAAGTATTTCCAAGGACAGCTCCTGGCCTGCTGTTGCAAATCAAGCAATCCTAAAACCGAAAAGCATGAAATTGCCCCGAATCAGGAGTATAAAATGCAAACATAAAGAAAAAGTTGCTGGGTTGGAGCCTTCTCTTGCAGAAGAGGAGGGTGGTGTGAATCGCTGCTCTTCTGATACCAAAGGTTTCTCTGGTCTTCAGAGAGATTCTCTTCAGAGAAGCGGAAAAGTTGATGGTCAGAAACTGTTAAACAACATGCATGAGAAACCCAGGGACTCTGCTGAAATAGAAACGGCTGTGGTGAAACACGTCTTGTCAGAGCTGAAGGAGCTGTCTTATCGGTCCATGAATGATGATGCTAGTGACTCTGGTGCTCCAAAGGCCACAGTACCTTTACTTTTCTCTTCCGCCTCTGGTCACGGTCCTTTGCCTATTGAGCCAGATTACAAATTCAGCACCTTGTTAATGATGTTGAAGGATATGCATGACAGTAAGACAAAAGAGCAGCAACTGATGACTGGTCAAAATATAGTCCCATTTCGAAATACCAGCACAGCTGATGGTTCTGGAAGCAATTCTGCAAGTGGTCTGAAGTCCTTGTCTATTGTAGGTCCCCCATATAAAATAGAAAAAAATGGAGATTGTGTCCAGGAAACAGTAAATCCAAACTCAGCTATAAGCAACTCCTCATTTTCACGCAATCCTCCAACCAAGTTGACGGGGATTGGTACTAGTAAAAGGGAGCCCGCGAGTACTGCTGTTTCTGGGACAAACGGCACAAATTGCATGTCCAAACGCAACTGTTCAAAATCTAAGCAGTCATCAAAGCTTGGAGATAAAACAGTTTCAAACAGAAAGGACTTAAAACCAGGAGGGCCAAGTAAGTTGCTAAGTCGGTTATCCAGAGATTCAGGAGAACATGCATTCCGCGTTCACGGTTTGGTTACCAGTCCTCTAGGTAATGAAGCAGAAGATACTGAGAGGAAAGAGTCTGTTGATTTAACAGAACATTCAACTGATGAAGACTCTGCCTGTTTATCTGATGACAATTTAGATCGTATTGGAAGGAGACCTGAAGCTGGTAGAAATATTGAGAGCTGCACTTCTGCTGAAAATGGGGAGAGTCCAGACTTGGATTCAGAGGCAAATAGTGAGAGCTCTCTTGGTGATGAGTCTAATGATATAAATCACGTAGTAGCACCCAAAAAGCGATGGCAGCGTTTTAACCAAAGCAGTGCTAGATCTAATAAGCACATCAGTAGATCTAGGGAACAAGGAAACTTGGAGAGTGCCTTTGGCCTGAATTCTCGTGGCTTTTCACGGAAGGGAAATGAGTGCTTGGGACGTAGGCATTCCCCTCATTCAAAGGTGCTTGAGGGAGACCTGACAGATCAGGACTATGAGAATCATTTAGACTTAGTTGAGAAACGTTTGAATGTATGTGGTAAGCCAAACAACAGTGTGATGGACTCAGAAACAGAGCTTGGCAACTTTGCTCCCCAGTCTGAATTCTCTGCACAAGGTAAGGGAGCTGGACTTGCACCAGAGTGTGTATTTGTATACATTTTATACTTTTTCATTTAAAGCATAAGTTATGGAACTTGGGGCTGTTTGACACCATGGAGTTGTATACGTCTGAGATGAAGAAAGTGTGATGCATTGGTTTTGGGTTCTCTGTAAGCATGGAGAACAAAGAAGGCAGAGCGATTATGGGATTTTGCTTAGCTTTTTGGTCAGAAAGTTTAAATACATTACAAATCATTAGTTCCTCCATAGCGAAAGGTAAAATAAGCATCCTTCTGAGTTTGGGATTTTTTTTTTTTCTTAAACTTATACCTTCATAATGTATTGCTTAGAGCCATGTGCTTGGTGTTGGCTGGATAGATCAGCACTGGAAAGCTGTGGGAAACTGAGCCTCAATGGCTGCTCTTTTGGTCATCATCTGTCCATCCCCATGTGTCATTGTTCCCCCCTGCCCCCCCAGTGCTGTTTGACATAGAGTCTGTCTTTGGTTTATTCTGTAGGATTTCATTGAGACAATGTGTTGAGGTGTTTTGGCATTTTAGTGTGGAATTTTATTAGCTGCTAATAACAAATTGGGGAACCCCACAGATTTCCTAATTTACAGCTCTGATGTGGCTGCCTGAGAGGTGAAGGGGAGAACAGAAGAGGGGGAAGCTGCCAGGGAGGCTGGGTTGGAGGTGGGACTGGAACATGGTAGACAGAAGTAAGGCAGCATCATTGGAAGGGAAATCACCTAGGAAGGAGGAGGCTTCTGAGGACCACAAGGCCAGACAGCCCTGCCTCTGCCACAGAGATGGAGACATTTGGTAAAAGAGAAAAAGAAAAAAAAAAAAAAAAAAGTGTGTGCGTGGAGGGAGTAGGTCCAGCAGAACCACATTCAACACATACCATCCTGAGGCTTCTGCAAAGAATCTGGAGAAGCAAACCTTAATGAAAACAACAAAATGAAATTTTTACATAGGTTTCGCCAAACGAAATTGTTCTGATCTATTTGTGATAACATAAATTAATAGAACTTGTCAGACTTTTGAATGTGGGTGCATTTAGTCACTTGCATGTTCCCTCAGTGCACATTTTGGTGTGTGTATTTTGCTATTAGTGGTTGCTGGAGGTTGCCTGCACCTCTGTTTGTGTGGAAGAGGCAGCTCCTGGCTTAGCAGTCATAGGACCTGCCCAAGGCAAGTCACAGCAGGCACAGAAAACGAGCCCATAGGGTGTAACGCATGGGGTAAAAGTTCTGGTTTGAAATCATGTCAAGCTTAATCACCCACTGACTCCTCTAGCTGTGGCTGCGTGTTTTTGAGGACTTAAGTCTTCACGGAGCAGGTGAGAGGATGCATGTTGTTCCGGGGCTGTCAAGGCTCTGCCGCAGGGGTGTCACAGCCTGCTGGAGGGAATGAGTTCCTTGTTTGCACTAAGATGCAGCTGGGTTCTCATGGCTTCATGTCGGTTTTGCAATTGAAGCGTCCCTGTAATGTTGCTATGTGAGATAAAGATGCAAGTCTACAGAGAGAGCTAGAGAAGAGCTGCTAAGAGGTAGTAATATTAGAGGGAAGTGGCAGAGGAAGGCAGCAGGCTCCTGGGCGAGGCAGTGCAGAGCTGTCCTGGTACTGCGCACAGGGATGCAGCAACAGTGGGGGCCTGGATTCGCTTGCAAAAGTGACAGATCAGCAACTGCAGTGTAATCTAATTCCCCTGCCCGAAATAGCACGTGAGCCTTGAAGCACACCTGAAGCTTATCTATACAGATGTGCCATAGGGAGGCACCGGAGTGTCTGTGTATGAGGAGCTGCCTGGACTGCTGTTAACATCCCCAGTGTGCTGGTGGTAGTGAGTAAACCCCTAATGCTGTGAAAAGCCCATTTGTGGAAACCAGTCTTCCTTTTGTATTGGGCAAGGCCAATTACGTAGAAAGTAGAGAGAATGGTGCTGGAAGTTAGACTAACTGCTGCTTACAGAAGAGAAGGAGTTTCCTCTGTTTGCCAGTGCTTTGAGAAGACGTGGCTAATCCTTGTCCGCAGCAGGCAGAGTATCAGTGTAAGAGATCACAACGGATTGCACTCACAACTGTGTAATTTCCACAAAGCTCAAACTATATAAAGTCTTCATCATAGTTCAATGGCAACATTTGCATATTTTTGCTACAAACTTTGTGGTGCGATTTAGAGCAAATAAGGCAGAAGTGAAGATTGGTGGAATATGCTAACTTAAAACATTTTTATAAATAATAGTTTTGTCAGGTATATGATTTGCCAGTGCCAATCAGACTGCACGTGGGATTCTTTTATGGGATTTTCTTTGGGGAAAAAAATGCAGTTAAGCCAGCCCTTCTGGCACATTGCTGTGCTCTGCTGCATGGCTTTGGGGCTCTAAGTAGTTGCCCAGTGAGGATACTCGGCCTATAACTGGTTATGTGCTGAAATGTGTATTTCACCCAGACACCTGTGCAGAGCGTTAATAGAAGCTGAAAATAGCTGTGTTTGAAAAAGTTGTTCCTTTCTTCTCTTTTGGCCAAGTTTGATGTTTTCATGCTTGTTTAACCACAAAGCCACAATAAAGTGTAGCAATCTTGTCCAACATCCCTGTTCTGAAGTGTTGCACTGGAATGCTTTGTTATAAAATGTTTCCGTTTTAAAGAAGAAAAAGCCACCTCCCACATGTGAAAAGAAGCAAAGAGAATATTTAGTGTTTGTTCCTAAACATCCAAGAGACCACAAATGTTTTCATGACTAGGAGAAATCTTTTGACAATATTATTTAATAATTTTGAAAACTAATAAAGGGGAAAATTCAACGGTATTCTGGGAAGTGAGAAAAAGACATAAACTTGCATTATCTTGCTTTTGCAGCTTGTTGAGCAGAGATGCTGTAGAGCATTAGGGCTCTTTTTTTGGAGCTTGCCGTGTGTTGGGGTGTTGAGGTGGTATAGCATGGGTGGTTAGGTTTGTATCGAGGAAATACCTGTTAACTGGGTTTCCCTTGCGATGGTGCAGCATTGTGCAAACAAAGACATCTGAGCCCTCAAGAGCTTGCAGTCGCTGGCAAGGACTGTTCGCTCCCTGATCTCATTGTGGAATCTAATGTTGGTAAGCAAAGGCAATAAATGGGCTTGCAGTAGCAGATGGGGAATACAAGGCTCTTGTAGTATATACAAAAATATGCCAGGGAAGAGGGGAGGGGAAGGGAAGGAGTTCGTTTTATGTGTTACTAGTGAGACTAGTGACTGAACTGTGTTACAGGAAAACAGTGTTTTCCCCTGCCACTGCACTAAAACCAAAGGAGTTTGGGTTAACAGCAAAAGTAGCATGATGAGTCTGAGTTGCTAATGGACTTAGGTTTTGGTAGAAGTACTGCAAGAAGGTTAGATAGTTTGTCTAGGGAGATGTTGGGTGAAATTCCAGGAGCCTCTCAGTCAGATATCTAATGGTTTTTGATTTTTTTATCTTAACTGCTTGAAGTCTCTTAGGTCTTTAAAAACCCCACCTGCCATGTCAGGACAGTGCAAAATAGGAAGCTCAAAAATTTTAAAGAAGTATAAGGGCTCTTCCCACATGGAGCCCCTGGAAGAGAAGGCAGGAGCAACTGTTATCTACAGATCACGAGGAGAATTTTTTTCTTGTGATCCTCTCAGAAACACAGTCTTGAAGCTGCTTTCCTTTTTCTTAGTACATTCAGAGAGGAAACGCCTTAGAAAGCCAAGTAAACGGCTTCTGGAATATGCAGAAGAATATGATCACTTATTTGCACCCAAGAAAAAGTCAAAGAAGGTCCAGGAGCAATTGCAAAAGGTGGGTGAAGGCTAATGTGCTCTTCGTGGTTATTACCCTGAGGCTCTGGTCTGCTTGCTTTTGATGAGTTTTTGCTGGCTGAGTGTTGTTGTGTGCAGTGCCACGCAGGATGAAAGTTTTCACCAACATGTTTCGCTATGCTAGGTGAATTCTGTGGTGAGGTCTGAATTTGAAGGAGGTCTTCCTGCACAATGCAGTCCTGACAGAGATACCCAGCGGGGGCCGAGTCCTTTGGTTTCAACTCCATCTTCAACCAAAGAGTCCCCTCCCATCCTTGAAGCAGAATGCTCCTTCTCAGAACTAGGATCCCATTCCACTGATCCTACTGATCAACTTCTAGAAGGACCTTCAGATTTTCCAGAGCTGGTGCTGTCTTCCTCAGATGTTTCTGAAGTTTCCGCTTCTCCAGATGCGGAAGAGAGATTCCTGAAATCAGGTGAGCGGGAGGTGGTGTGATTCTGCTCCTGTAAGTGAACGTGTCACAAGTTCAGCAGAAATTGTTGCTTTGGTCAGAGTGAAAAGGTTAGTAGTTGGCGATCTGTTAGTTTGTTTTCGCTTTGCTTCATTCAATCACAATTACTAGTGCTGGGAAGGGAGAGGGGGCAGGTGCAGTGGGTGACCCAGTGAGCTGGATGACTACACTTATTCTTTTAGCTTTCTGTAGTGTATGATGGTCCTCCTTAGGTCCTGGCACAGGATACCCCTTTACCCAAATTAAGAAAGTCATAACTCCTTCTTTGAGTCCTTGCCATCTGTGCTTGCAAACAGTGGCATTCCTTTAGCTTGAAGGTCTCTTGCTGCTGTTAAACCCTTTGGATGAACATTGCTGTCCTGAGGTTGATACACAAGGTCTTAATCTGCACAGCTTGTGGGGTGACCTTTAGCTCTCCTACTGAGCTTAGGAAATTGTAGCACAGAAATCCCTCTGGAAAAACTTTTTTTCTTAGAGGTTCTAAGCATCTGTAGAAATTGTCGGAAACTTGTACTAGCAGCAAGTCAGAGTCTTAGCTTTCAGCAAGGCACAGTATACAAAGAGGGAGTGTGGTCTGACAGGCTTTTCCCCTTTCCAGCAGAGTCAGTATCAGGGTCTACTTTGCAGTACGTTCATTCTCTGGTAGCATCTAAAGACATGTCCAGGGTTAAAGCCCTGGTGTTCTGCCTGTGTGAACTTGGAGGCTCTAAAGGGCCTATGGTAAAAAAAAAAAAAAAACAACCAAACCCAAAACAACAACAAAACACACACCCCACCACCACCACCAACCAACCAAAACCCACCCCCCCCACCCCCCAAACCAGGTGGACAGAGAGGTATGGTCAATGGGAGGTCAGCTAGCCTGTTATATTTGAGGGCAGAGGGGTTGCCTCTGGGGGCTTGTGGGTGTCAGATGGAAAGTTGGAGAGGATTAAAGGAGGAAAAACTGGGGATGTGAACCTGAGGTTGGAGATGCAGAACAGTACAGGGTGCAGCAGTGGGAGCAAACGTCCAGTATGCAGGGGTTTCATAGCTCTTCCCCCTCCTGAGAAAACTCCCCTCTTACTGAAGCACACAGAGCCCAAGCTATGAGAACGATGCCGTGTTGTCCCTCCCTTAGGTGTCTGGTGCATAAGCAGTGCATGCAGAGGTGTGTGTCACAGAAAGGACGTGGCCGAGGCTGAAAACAAGCAGAGGAACAGGTTAGGATGGGTAGCAGGCTGTTTCTGTGGACTGTCTTGCACTCATAGCATTGTCGTTTCCTGGTCGTTTTTATACTGTTGACAAAATTAGTGTGGATGAGCCCAGGTCTAGCAATTTGTTGCCTCCCGAGTGCCAGCAAAAAGCTTGAGTAGGAAATGGTGCAGGTTACAGCTAGTTTGTTTGGGGTGTCTTTTCCCAGGTAGTTTTAACTGGGAGTGTGTCCTTTAGCCTGTTTACTATGTGCAGCATGAATGCTGGTGTGAGTGGTGTGGGAGTGGAGGCAGGGCTGTATTTGTCAGTGGTAGGACTGGCTTATGCCAGATCAAAGTGATTAGGAAATTACGATCTGAATTGCGCTGCCAGGATGTGTTACCTGCTGGCATTGACTTCATAGTCTCTCTTCTGTGGGTAGATTTTTGCATTACACATTGAGGTATGCCCGAAGGTCGTGGCAGACTGAGGTCCCTTTTTGTGGAAGTTGTACAGAAACAGGTAATTGGCATCTCTGCCCAAGGAGCTTATGATCCCAAAGACAGGGTGAAGCAGATTGTTTTGAACTGTTGGCTGATATTTGCTTAATGCTCTTAGTCTGATTGAAGAGAAGAAAACCCCGTTTATCTGATGTGAAGAGTTTCATTGCAGGAAACTTCGAAAGCAAGCGTCAAAGGAAGCCCACTAAAAAGCTCTTGGAATCAAATGATTTGGACACTGCCTTTATGCCAAAGAAGGATGAGTGGACTCCCCCAAAGAAGGTACTTTTCTTCCAGCTCTTTTAAAAACCGGATAGAAAATGAGCCTAGACAGCAGACCCTGCTGATGAGACCCAGTGCAATGAGCTGGGTTTTTTAGGGTTGGTTTGTTTTTTTTTTTTTTGGCTGTGGCCCAGGAGCAAAGGGTCCACCCTTCCCAAAGGTGCTGGCTGCTGTGTTATGATGGAGAAGTCTGCTGATTACAGATGTGTTCCCCACCCCGCCCCACTTGTAATGGGGATTGGGTAGTTTTGGCTGTAAAATCCCCTTTGACCATTGATTTATATGGAAAAGGAGTCATCTGGATGCTGGCTGGGAAGGTGTGAAGGCTTTCTGTCACTGTTATGTTGCAGTGTAGCTTGAGCTTGAACTTAAGGCTTTGTCCTTTTCCATCAGATTTCTTCTGAGTGGTGTTCCCTTTGTTACCTTCCTGAGTGAGCTGGTGAATCATACATAAGTGCAGAGCTTGTAGCAGGATGGAGGCTTGAGTTGTATCACATGTAGTATGCAGTGCTTGGTGCATATTTTTAAAGAAAATGTTCTGCTCTGCTAAATGCTTGATATTCAGTGACATGGCTTGGAAAAAAGCAACTTGTAAAGAATTATTTCAGATGGTGTACCTGTACGAGACTTGTTGCCACTGTTTCAAAGGCTGACTAATAACAGTTTTTTCCTCCTTTCCTTTTTTCTCCTCTGTGTGGCACAGTCTTAATACAGTTATCATGGTTGCAGTAATGCAGAGGCCAGTGTATTTCAGTCTTAAGCTCCGTAAAAGCGTAAAGCCAGAAGAGTCTCTGTTCCTAGCAGCTTACAGAGTGTTAGCAGCCTTTTTGGGAATGCTCAGGAAACAATGGATGATGCTGGTGAGCACAAGACACAGCAGACTCAGCATCACTCCCTGTCCAGAGACTGACTTTGCCATGTGGGATCTATCACACACACAAAACAAATGTTTTCTTGTAAAGTCTCTAATCACTGGTGAATTCGTGACCTGAACTGTAAGTTACATGTTGCAGTCTGTTGTAAAGGGTCCGAGTGGCTGAGGAACGTGCATCTCTCGTTTGCATCTGGTGACTTGACTCTGTTGTGTATTTGTAGGGCACTGGCCCTTCAGAGAGCGACAGCTCTGAGCTCTACTCACCAGCCCACTTCTCGGACCTGGGAGAAGGTAAGTGAAGGCAGGGCTGTGTGGGTAGACTGTTGGTGACATTTGGATCAGTGCCTGTGGCTTTGTGTGTGTGTAAGGGCTTATGTGTCCTGGGCTCAGAGAGGTTGCTTGCCTCAGCTGAGGCAGTGGCAGAAGAAATAGGTACCAAGATTGTTTACCCAAGGTACTGTTATGGCTTTGATTTCCCTATGGGAAGTGGAGATGCTGGGCTCGTATTTCTATGAGATGATGTTCACTTCTCATTCATGGTCTGGGTGCTTGAAGGAAACTCACCAGCACAGGTCCTGTACCATTGCCCTGTGTTTTGCCTGATGGCATGCTGTGACCAGGCTTAACAGTGGCTGCCCTGTCCCGTGGACAGTTGTGCAGTTGCATTGTACTCCCTCCCTGTCTGCCTTTGTATCGCATTGGTATTGACATGAGGAAGTTTTTGTTGCAGTGCAGTGGGAGGAGGTAGTTACCAGCATTTGATTAGCAATGTAAGCTTCGTGCTGGTAGCGCTGCTTCTTTTCTCCTGGGGGGCTGTCTCAGGAAAGTCAGTGATATTGTTCAGCAGCCTAGCAAAAGAAGCTTAAACCAGTATGAATTGGTGGTCCTCTGATGGTTGCAGGGCAGACTGCCTGGAGGCTGGTATTACCCCAGCCCTTATGCCCTCAAAGACAGTAGGACCCAGCCTGAAGCTCTCAGCGTGTAGAACTTGCTGGTGGCACCTGTAGCAAGGGAATTATTTCTGCGTTTTCTTTGAGTGGTCTTTCTATTGCATCCCAGCTTCTGAAAAGCTCTTGGAGAAGCAGCGGAAGCGGAAGCGACAGCGCCATCCCTCTGCAATGCATTCCAAGAAGGAGAGAAATGAGGAGGGGCTGGGGGAGACCCCACACTCTGAGGTACTGTTGGGTCTTCCTACATGCTGTCATCCCTATAACCTGTCTGCTACTTCCCAGGGCACTTTGCAGAGCCTAGGCCAGGTCATCTTTGGCTGGCTGGCATGTCAGTTGGGAGTTTGTTCCACTGATGTAGTCGCATGAGCTGGGGTTAAAGCTGAAGATACCACCTTGATTTAGTAGCTATTTTGTGATGACTGCTTAACTCAGGCTCAGTTTTTAAGCTGCTGCTCAGCTAATTCTCCAGGAGAGAGGCTGTTCTGATCTGATGGAACCAGGTTTTGCCTGGCATCTTGTTTTGCACCTCAGAAGGTCTAACTGCTGTAAAAGGTCTTCTCTGGTAGTGGTGGTAATCTTGCCCTTTTACACACCAGTATGAAGTACCAGCACTAGACTGTGGACTTCAACCCCTTCTTCCACTTGCCCCTGCACGCCAGAGTGAGCTGAGAACCACATTGGAGGGGATGGGGGGAACTGTGACTGCTCACAGGAGCCTCTGATTCCATTCTGCCATCCAGCAGAAAGGGATAATTGGGGCAACTCCCTTCTACTGCATCCCAGCAGAGTCGGCGTACAAATATCTCTGACAAGCGCATTTTGCCTTTTAGGAATGAGCCAGGTATCACGAAGTGTAGGGGAAGCAAGACTTTTCCTGGGAGAGGCGGGACACCTCTGGGCCTCTCACCATCGCCTCT